TGGTGCTGTTGTTGATGGTGCTTGGCTGTACAAGTACCTTACCCACCTCTACCAGATGGACCATACGTAGTACTCTATACGATGAGGATATCTCATCAATACGTCCCTGCTTCATCATCATCAGATCGTAGACCCCTCCATAGGATGGACAAACTCAGAGCCCAACACGGCCTCTACCATTCTATTGGGTTTTACACTGCAATACCACACTAGGGCGATATCTGCTGTATGTAAATGCCTCGAAGCTGTTGATATAACCCAGTATAGATACTCCTTGTCTTTCCGAATATGTTCGTACATGAAATACAAAGAGCTGCTTCTGTCAGAAGCCTCAATAGACGCTTCCCCAAGAGACCACGGGTAACTTCATGATCATCCCCACGAGCCTATTGATTGACTCGATCAGGAATGGGTAGATCTCTCACGAGCTGACCAACTAAAGATATTAGTTGATGATACTGAGTTCGAGAACCTGCCTCTCAATCGTATACCCGGCCCGGATACTTATCAATTCTCGTTCCCCGTGTTGATACCTCCAAGTATGCCTCTCCATAATGTTTGGTAATGGAAAGCGAAATGGAGCGGAGTGGTTATCTCCCGTACAGGTACATTATCATATGCTCCTATCCTTCAAGTGATTGTAACAACCCCAAGGATGCTGAGTACATTCTGGCATCGTTCCCGTTACCTGGCTTTGAAGTTGGTCAAGTGTGTGGAGAGGTAGGTACTTCAAGCAGCTATGTGTACAACCCCATCAGGAATGTGATCAAATACGACTGTACCAAGACGGCATCTGGAGTGGGGCATCCTCGTTCATCGTGTCTCTTATGATCCTCTTAGCATGTTCCTACCATGTGTTCTGTCTCATTGTATGATCTGCTAGTCCCGATGTGGTGTTCGATAGAAGTGAAAGAGGGTTGAACAGCTACATTCTACACGCATGGTGAATTCTCAGTAGGCGAGAAGTTCTAAAAACACATTGTGGAGTGTGGAGGCGGAATTAATGTACCGACATTATCTCGTAATAACCCTTCGTGTTTTCGAGAGATATGTGTTGCAATATGTTCTATATCCGCACGTGCGTACTCCATGAACTCTTGTTCTCCATGTACTCCATGTACTGTGCTCGCGATGGGAGTATCATGTAAGTGTCGTTATCACGCGTGCTCAACCGCTTGCACTTCGGCAATTAATATCTCGTATCCTTCCGACTTACAAACACAAAACCAGAGATGTAACAGAAACGAAAACCTCCATGACATGAAAGAGGAGTACTAACAGTCATCATAATGCCTCGTTAAATTGTTGGATTGGAGATGTGTAAACCTGAGGATAGCGTTCTATATTCTTCTCTTCCACTGAGCGCTACATCAGTCGTTGCTGGACCAATGGCATACGCCTCTTGAGCACGCTCTACCAAATATTTACACCTATCATCTACAGTGTGTAACTCAGACCATTCCGATAACCACAAAGGGATGACCTTAATCATAACAGATGACTATGGAACGGATCAGTAGGTGGATACCTTCCAACCCAAACTGTGAAGGTGTCGTACTTTCGTCAATGAGTTGCCAATCATAACTCGCGTATGACCTAACAGAAGTACCCACCAATGCAAAGCATGATGAATACCAAGAGGATGTACCCAGGCGAATGTTGTTATGTGGGTCATCAAGGGTCGATTGATGTTGACCTCGAGTGATAGGACTGTACCAGCGTAGTTCATCTTCCTCCTTTATACATACTATTGCAGTACCTACATAAGTTATGATGCTAGTAAGCCGAGGGACAGACTCCTCCATACGTTTGCCTGCTTGTTGGTAGTTCAGGGATGACCCTAAAACACTAGGGTTGGATGATGACGATGTACTATCAGGTTGATTAAGTGATGTGATCATATCTAGATGGTAGACCTAATAATCATCATATCATCTTCGAGTGTATATCGGAGGGTAACCTCTGCAAGCTGGTTGCCAAGACTTAGTGGCCATCCGAGAGCATTGATAGCCTCATTCAACTGCATACACGTATCAGAGTGTAAGAAGTTGGTCCGATCTCTCTCTTGTGATGCATACCTAGACAAGGTATCCGTTAAGATGAATGGTATTATTACCAAACGAATGATGTATTATCAGCGAAGAATGCTTTAACATCATCATTCTGAGTGAGATATTTGCGTACAGTCGGGGGGCCCTCTACAGCCGCACAGAGGTGTATCTACAAGTAGTCCGACCAATAGGTAGTGCAGACCTCATCCCATCACCTCGAATGCCCGTATCCAGTCGTTTGTCGTCATATTGCTACTATAAGCACTACTATTTATATTTGCAGCATTAATCAGCTCTTCAACAGCCGTGATGAACTTTGGTGGGAAATGCCTTTGGCGACTAAGGACGTTGAGTAGATCCACCAATAACCTGATAGCAATCCTCTGTTACTGAACTAGATAGTATAAGATAAGACCTCGGGTGTTGTGATATGTCAGTAGCAATAGGGTTATCCCCATCTATACAACTCTCTTTATTTATAGGTGGTCTACTTGATGGTAATGCCCTCTCTATTAGTTGTACCAACTCTTGAGAATAGAATCCTAGATCAGTAAGGGGCAGGGCAAATGCTGCTATATACTGTCGGTATTGTATTGGCATTATATTGGGAGTAGTAGTAATGTTCTTCTTGTTGTTGTTATCATCATCAATGAACAACTCCTTATTAATATACCACGAATACCACACAGTAAGACGCTTTAGGAATGTAGCATCATGTATCCGTAAACCTCGGAACGCTCTAACCTGAGTATTCTACTATAAAGTATGTTATCGCCGTCAAGTATTACTAGATGTATGATATCTGTTGGTGATTGTACAGTAAGGGATACCGCTGAGCAACGACTCATCAATATTGACACACAAGTAGTGTTATACCTACAAAGGAGGATATGACCCTAGACAATAAGAATACTATTACTACCATTCTAATACTGCCATACTGCGTAAAACTGATGTTAGTTGAGGTAGCGTATCCAAGTCATGTACTCCCTTATTGAGAGCTGACATAAGAGTAGGTTGGAGTATTACGAAGGGGGAATATCTGGTATTAAGTAGGAGTATGTAGGAGTATATCTATCATTGATAGTAATACATCCTCTCCTCATTATCCTGCTCTAGGAAGGGTAATAGGGATGTCCTATTATCAGCCAACAACTTAAGTAGAGTTACCAATGCTGGAGTATCACAATATTCAATAACTGGTATAAGAGCCTAATCATGAGGATGACTGTGGAGGTTACTGCGAGAAGGACTACCCTCATGGTCTTGTTCAATACTCCCTTATTGATCATTACATCTGGTCCACTACTCAATATTGATGATAGGATATTAAGTACGTGTCGATAATCTCGTGGGGATATACCTAGTATGGCTTAGAAGCATGATCATGATAGCTGGCACTACTACTATTACTACTACTATCATTGAATACCAATGCCGATAGATCATCTACACTATCATCATGTAGCATATCACTAGAAGAAGCGGTAATAGCTGCTGCCAGTAGGTTCATCTCTGAAGTAAGCTGATCTCACTAACGACACGAATAATGTAGTACCTTACTTTGGGGTAAAGGAGCGTTCATGATACTACTACGTGATGATACTATCATAGTAGATAGTACCTTTTGAGGATCCAAGCAGTCACCAAATACAGGCTTAGCCCTGAGTGCTCCTATAAAGGGATACTTATCAAGTACGATTAGGATGATGATGATAAGGAGTACTTGCTAGAGTAATGGTAGCATTAGCAGGACTCCCTCTAACTAATACTCCTTCATCTATATTCTTATTATCTTTAATGAAGTCCCTTAATAGCTGTGCTATGCCAATCTCTGGTTTAAGATGGGTAGGGGTAGGTTGAGGATGGGCTAATGTATTCTCATAGAGTGTACCTTCGGATGATAATAATAACATATAACGTGTTGGTAGTAATACATAGTAGTTGCACTGCCCTCTTTAGTGATAGATCTGTTGATATGTCCTTCCTTAACCTATCATACTCTACATCATCATTAGTGTTGAATGCTGCTTCCAATGCCTCCTTTAGGGCACTACGCTCACTAGATGATAGGGGGTCCGTACCTATTAATATTGATGAGCATTATAAGCAACTCCTTCATAATCATCATTACTACTACCATAAGATGAATATCCTACAGTTGATAATACATCTACTAATGATGATAGGGATAACTCCTTACCTCTACTACCTGA